CCTAGCTGGACACAGAGTTCTTTCTAAGCTCCAGAAGATTCATGTGGCAGCTTTGCTCAGAGCACGTGATTTTGCTAAAGCACTGTTTGTGGAGTGAGCTGCACCAGGCTGACTTTCACACCTGTGCCTGTGAAATTGGTTATATACATATAAAATAGAAAATACACAAATAAAACGGTTTATAAAAAGCTTTCTTTAAAAAAGTGGAGTGTCAGTGACAGCCCACAAGATCAGAGAACGTGTGGCTTGGAAAGCTCGGTGTTGGGCACGGTGACACTGCCCACTTGACTGAGGCAAGCTTAGAGAGCAGAGGTTTGTGGCCACCAGGTCCTGGGGTGAAGGACAGGGCTGTGATTTCCTGCTGAGCTGGGCCTTTGCAGAAAGAAATTCAGAGTAGCTGGGTCATCATAGGAGTGGGAAGGTGACTTTTTTTGGAAATTAGGTCACTGATCTCACAGGTGATAACCCTGGTTGCCTGTCTTGGCTCTGCATTTTGCTGAAGGACACTCCTGAGAGTACAGGTCCAAACTGAAGTTGCACACTGCTTGGATTGTGCTTGGCTCTTAAAAGTTGGAGAGTCATGCTTACACAGCACCTTTTTTGTCTGCACCTCCTAGAACAGAAGACTCAGAGGTGTCTAATAGGGTTCTTTTCAATCAGTAAGAGAAAAAACCTTGGATCTTCTGGTGCCATCTGCATAAACACAGTGTTAGAAGTAGGTGTGATGTCACCTTTTTTGGTTGTCCTAGTAACAAGTTAAGCTGTTATCAAGAGAAATGCACTGGGCTGTGCAGACAGGGTAGAGGAAAGAACACTCACTTTTGGATTTGAATTATTGCTCAAATAGTTTGTTAAAATTAAGACAGAATGTACTTGTGTGTGGACAAAACAGTGCCAGGGTGCAGATGCACAGGATTAGACTGGATCCAACTGAGAAAATAAATATTGCAAGCAAGAACTATAGAAAAGCCTAAAGACTTATACCCACCCCTTCATTGCAAGGAATAAGGCAGAAATAAAAGTTTGGGCCTTGACACTGTCTAAATATGTGATGACTTGTGGGGCAGAGAGAGGCATAACCATGGGGAAGTTGCTTAGTCTAGAAATAAATTTTCAATGCCAAATTTAAGCCCAAATCTGCTTTCAAAAAACTCCTGTAAACAAACATGCCTGTTGTAGGTATATGCGACACGAGAGAGTGTGGGATATAATCTTATTATCACACAGCTGTGTCCCCTCTTTTCTTGAAATTTCTTGATCTGCATCCCACAAACCTTGAAGCCAAAATCATGGAAAATCTGTTGGTCAGTAGTAGGTCCTTCACAGTAAAACATCCTCGTAATACCTAAACTGTTGTTGGGGGTCTGCTGAATCCCTGAAAAAGGACAAATTACTCTGTATTCATCCATCAAGTAATTGGGCAACAAATATACTAATTGAGTAGTCGTAAATATGTTAATTGATCACTAGTTTCAATTGTTGAGGGTGGGTAGCTGGGAATGACCCCATCCCAGCAAAAGCAGAGTGTAAAAAGTGAAGTTTTCTTGCTTAGCCAGTGACTCAGAACAATCTGAGGTAGAAGAAAAGCTTCCAGAAAGGTTTGCAATTATTTTTGTGGGTGATATGTTAATGAAGGCATCGGGCTGATTGCTCAGGCAAAATACCGAGTAATTAGCAGTTATGTGTGTGGTATGAGTCTTATGAGGCAGATAACCACTTTGAAGAACTGTCTGCAGTTCAGCCTGCTGGTGGCAAATGATCCAGGGAGATCTTGGGGATCGTTTTGGAACTGGCTCAGCAATGCTGCAAAAGAAGGAGTTTGAGGAGAGATCTCAGGATTTAACCCAGAGAGGAGGCTGCTGGCCTGGCTGAGCTCAGGGGGTGAGCTGAAGTTACTGGGGGCCATTGAACTGTTTGCTGGAGTGAGGAGGTGGTGCCCCTGCCATCAGATCACAAAAGTCAGTTGTACTCATGTATTTCCTACCAGAATTGTGATAGGAAGAAGGTTTAGGAGTAAGTGAAGTCTCAGCACAAGTGTTTTAAAAATGTCACGCCTGCAGTGCTAACATTCCCTCTTTTCCCACCAACTTCTGTGCCTGTTTGCATTGTGTCTTCCTGTCAAGATACTGCAGAACCAGAGAGAGAGCAAAGCCTTTCTATGCTGAGCAAGTTTGCTTCATACCTGATGCTTTTTAAAAAGCACTTAATGTGACAGCAGCTGGTTTGTGAGATCAAGAGACTCTGTCAGTACTCAAAGGGAAAAAATCTTGGATGTGAAGGGCATGTTGTTAGCAAAGGAGCTGTTAAAAACCTGATGGAAATGCTGAGGTTTTTAAGTAAAAAATATCTCTAAAATTTAGATGACTAGAACAGGGAATGGGAATAAACAATCACTTGGATGTGAAATTTCCTATTGTAAGGCATTTACTGAAAAGCCACTGGAGAAGTGTTACAAGGGGATTTTGCTACTAGTCAGATTATTCTTCCTATTTAGGTGTGAACATGGTCCATCTGTTTATGGAACTCTGAGTAGTAAAATTTCAGTCTGTGCTGAAATACTGTGTTTTGACTTCAAAAGGAGCTCAGGATTGTTCCATGGGATTGATCCTGGAGAACAGATCTGTTGTAAACATATGGAGTTAAGCTGCAGGACTTTGATTTTTTTGCACGAGAGGTTTCGTAGGGTTGTCTGGTGAAAACCATGCCTCAGAGGGCATCATCTAATTGCTCACAGCAATGAACAGTTCTAGTCTCCTAATCAATGGGAGAAGTGAAAAGTGTGGTATTTCCACACTATAAATTATCCAAACTAATAAATCGCTAGTTCAAGTTGTGAACAGAGCTTTGCAGGAAACCTGTGAAAAGCAAACAGCAGGAAGAGAGTGATCCATAAAATGATGGGAAAAGGAAATCTGCCAGAGTCAAAAGCTTTTCAGAGACTTGGTCTTTGAGGGGAATGTCGAATTCACTGCTGTTCATATGGAAGACTGAGGAATGGCTGAGTGTGGTGGGTGTTTGTTGCTCAGGGAAATAATCTGTGATGGGGAGATATGAGATCGGGTCATTGTGCCTGGTTTAACTGAATATAGGAGTCTTTCTCAAGAGAGAAGGAGAAGGAAAAACATTAATTGTAGCCATGGGAAGGGTCATATCTGCCTCTGCTCTGGGAAGACTGCAGGAGGAACATGGCCAAAGCACCAGGTCTTTTTGGGGAACATCAGCTGAGATTTTGGTATTGCAAAGCTGATCAGTGGCAGCACCACTGAGGCTCCTTGACAGCAGTGGTTTGTCAGCAGAGACAGAACTCCCCTCTTTTTGCAAACTGTAGTAATAAAGACTGCATTGCTTGATCTGTGTGCCTTTGCTGCTACAGGGAGAACAGCCCACAGCTCCTCTTCCTTCTTGAGAAAAGGCTCTACCTGCTGTGTTGATTGATTGAAGCTCACTGGAGACAGAGGAAGATTTAACACTCACTTGAGGGCTTCTCTTCATAAGTTCAACGAGATAGATAGCCTAAAAACACATTTCAGAGTTGAGATTTGCAGAGGGAGAACACAAAACCAGGAAACCCCTGCACTGTTGGGATGGCAGCAGTGTTGTGACAGTATAAAAGAATTGCTTTAATTAAAAGTCTCTGAAGACAGCAAATCCTTCTTTCTGAGCACAGCCCAAAGAAAGGGTGTTCTGCTGCTACTGTCAGCACTCAGAGGTGCAGTGGCTGATGCCAAATGACAGAGATTTCCCCTGGACTTTGGAGGTGCTGTAGTGGTTATTAAGTCTCTGGGGACTGAATAAATATCTGCAGGCACTGTATATCCAGCACCAGGGCCATATTCCCTCCTCACTCCCTCCAAAAAGAGTCTCAATCACTGTGCGTTTAAAGACATTTTGGGACCATGCCACAGGTTGCGAAGGCACCATTCTCTGAGGGAATCCTGTTCCCTTGCTTTTCAGGAGGAAAAAACTAAAAACTTTTTGAAAATCTGGTATTTAAAAAGAATAGTGATTTTATCATACTTAGGAATATCCCTACTACTGTTTGTAACTACAAGCAGGCGAGCATCCATTATCTATTTCTATTATGTGTGTGTTTTTCTAAGACAAAATTTCTACTGTATCACTTGCAGGAAAATTTTGGAGTAATGGCATGGGGAACTGCCATAACCATTTTTCACTGTGACAGAAGAAAATACAACTGTGTATTTTAAAGCCTTTATAAACCATGTTAAAATAGCAGCTGAAAGTATATGCATCAGAATGTACTTTTTCAGTTAAAAACAATCTGAGAAATTAGAAATTAGCTTATTAATTAAAATTACCTTAAATTACATTCAAAAAGGGAAGACTTTCAACTCAAGAAAGACGTTTCTATAGAAATGGAAATTTTTGTTATTGAGGGTATTAAACTTCAAAGATAAGCAAGAACTGAGATTACCTGGAAAAATACTTCTAATTCTTCTTCAAAAAAAAAATTTTAAAGGGGAGGGAGGAGGATGAAAGTTTTGCTGATAATCATCCTCTTTTTACTCCTAGTTACCTGTCTGTGTGTGGCAAAGGAACAGGAAAAGGAAAAAAAATTCTCAAAAGACAAATTAAGAGCACAGAAAGCTGTAATTACTTAGACACCTTAACTCAGACATGTTCAGCAATAGAAACAAAACTAATTTTCTCACTAATTGCATTTCAGTTATAGCTATTCAAACAGTTTATTCTGAAAGATGAAGAATTCCAGCTATAAAATGCATCATTTGATATGCATTATGCAAATTAAGTCTGTAATATTTTTGGTTCCAACCAGGATCGAACTACAGAGAACTCCCAGGCGGAGCGACCGTGGCGCCCCGGCAGCGCAGGGCTGTTGGTGCTGTCACTGCTGAGGGGTCTGCCCTGAGCACCGGCAGTGCTTTGGGGATGTGAGCTGGGTTTGCAGCTGCTTCTGAGCAGGAATCCTGCTGTGAAGCGTTCCCCTCAAACGCAGTAACCTTTGTTGTGTGTCACAGGAATCATGTACCGCAAGTCCTGCGCCTCCTCGGCCGCGTGTCTGATCGCCTCCGCCGGCTACCAGTCCTTCTGCTCCCCTGGCAAGGTCAACTCCGTCTGCATCAGCTGCTGCAACACTCCCCTCTGCAATGGACCCCGGCCCAAGAAGAGGGGGAATTCTGCTGTGGTGCCCAGAGCACACATGACAACCACTCTTCTGCTCCTTAAATTTGCTCTGTTGTTTTTGTACTGCTAAACTTCAACCAAGTTGGTTTGTTTGTTTGGTTTTTTCCCTGACACAATTTGTTCTGCATCCTTCTTTCTTCAAAGACGCTGCAATTATTTTCTGTTTGTTTCCAAATCCCTGTCAAGAGCAAGGGAAGTTCAGTGGCTGTGTGGAGAAGAGGGGCTGATATTTTTGTCAGCTAATGAGTTCAGTTAGCAGATTGAATTTCCAGTGTGCACTTAAAAATCCCAGCAGGATACAGACCTCCTGTTCCTTTTGCATAACTGGAAACAAATCCATCCGTGTTATTCCTTTTGCGATGTTGTCACTTTCCTGGGTCATTTCAATTGCCATGTTTTTAAGCTCATTGCTAAGCATTAACTTTGCCTTAGGAAGTCACACTTGATGTTCACAAAGGCCGTTCTGTGCACCCTGACTGGGCTCTGAGCTGGTTTCAAGGGGCGCCGCTTCCAGGCTGGGATCTGGGGGTGCAGGACCCGTCTCCTGCGGGCTGCAGCTGGGCGCGGGCTCCTTCTGGAAGGTGCTCAGGAAAACTTTGGCGTTGCTCTTGGCGGAAGACCCGCGCCTGGAGGACACGAAGAGCAGCGGGCGCAGGGAGCGGCTGCTCCGCGCCGCGGAGCTCTGGTTGGCCCGGAGGAACCTCTCCCTGTTGGCGTGCTGCAGGGTGAGGCGGCAGCACAGCACCTGCAGGAACACGCTGCGGAACTGCTGGGAGGAGATGTTGTACAGCAGCGGGTTCACCACCGAGCTGAGGTAGAAGAAGATGTCGGCGATGGGGAGGAGGGTGATGTAGGCTCTGAAGTAGGGGACGGTCCAGTCCTGCTTTGGCTTGGCAGCTGCCATGATCCTCCTGACCTGGTTTGGCATCCAGCAAACCGCCAGAGTGGCGATGATCAGTCCTGCGGGCAGAGAGAGCAAGAAAGAGGTCTGCATACGTGGGGGAAGACACAAAATACTATCAGTTCTGCACTTACTTGTTAGGAAATGGTACCAATTTTTCAGTGTTTTGCTTGACAGCTTTTTCTGCCGGTAGCATTTTTTTGTTTGTTGTTTTTAATAACTGTTACAAGGTCATTGCGGCACATGCTCAGACAAAACACTGCACAGTGCTTGGATGGTGTTTCTTTGTACCTGGTGTCATTTATTGCTTTTCAAAGTGTTCTTTCTCTGATCATACATGTCTTCAGAAAGAATATGGTTTTAGTTTGGTTTCTGCTCTTACATTTCTTCTGTCTTTCCCTTTACTTTGAAAAACAAACACAATAAATAGAACCTATAGCCATATTAGATCAGGCAATACCCAGAAGAGATCAGATTCTTGTTTGTACTTTACAAAAAAGAAAATGTATGCATAATAATATATTTCGTGTTATTTTTGGTAGATTTCCTCTTACAGAAGCTATTTTTAAGTAAAATGTGTATGGATCTTTTTACGGTAATTAAGATACGTTGGGCTTTCTTAAAAATCAAATTCCAGTGGAATTAAATGATGAATGTAAATGAGAAAAAAACCCAAGCCTAGTCATGAAAGTGTAAGCAGTTTCAGATTGTAAATTACGCTTTAAAATGTGGTATCTGACCATTTTGTATTTATATGTAAATATAAATACATGTTGCTGCATCACTAATGGCATTAAAAAGGGGTGGCTGAAGTGTTGGATGTCTGACAATTCTGCCTGCATGGAGCGTGTTCCGCAGGGTGCAGGAACCTGTCAGTGACTGGAGCTGGCTGTTCCCAGGCAGGACATGGAGCACGAGCAAGGCACCTCATGGCATCCTCTGTTTCTCCTGTGTGCCAGCGCTGGAATCCTGCACACACACACCTTGTGTGACATGCCAGGTACACAAAGTCACTCCTCCTGCTGCTCCCCCGGTGCCGAGCAGTGCTGGCTCACAGGGCAGCCTCCAGTTTGCTGTCCCCTCTCTGCTTCTCTCTATGCAGGAGCTGTGCCTTACACGAACTTCGGAGGGAGCAGAAGCTGCAGCCTGAGGCAGGGAATGTCCTGGTGGGGCAGTTCTCATCCTGTGTGTCACCTTGTTAACCTCATCCAGTGCCTGACCTCTGCTCCCTACAGCAGCACAGAAGCTGTTTAATTCTTACTTCTCTGGGCTGAGTCGGATTGCCCCCACTGGAGAGGTCACTGTGACAATGCCATTCGGAAATAGTGGGGTTTTGAAGCCAGGAAAAGGATGCTGCACTAGCAGGAGGATATGAATGTAGCAGGGAAGGGAGGCAGGAAATAGAAGAAAGTTTCATAACTTTGAAACCGCCAGAGCTTCACCAGGCTCTGTCCAGGTTCTCACCCCCAAGCAAAGAAAAGGTATGAAATGCCTTTTAAAAAAAGAAATTTAATTTTTTTTTTCATAAAAGGGATGATTACTTTAACGAATTTATTATCTCCCTGAATGAGCTACCAAATAAAAGCTGTCCTTTGGATCCCTCACTTCTGTAATCACTTACTGCCACAATAACTGTTGGGATAGGGAACTAGCAGATCTTAAACCTACAGCACTGGCTTAAGAGCCCTGGAGGGCTGTTGTTGGCAGGCCAGCAGTAAATCCATCGACAAAACCTTTGCCATTTTCAGTTCTTTGCCTACCAGAACTCTCCCCAGCCACTGTTTCTTTGCTCTCAGTCCCACAGTCCCCTCCCTGCCCCTGCTTTTCCCCTGCCACCTTCCCTCACTGTTCAGTACCTGCTGTGCCTCTATGATCTGAATTTTGTATTAAACCTGCAAATGTTTGAGGCCTTCATTGTTCTTTTCCTGCTGTCAGCTCAACAACTATAGGGTGTCAGTCCTGGCATGGGCCAAAAGAAAATAAGGCCCCTTGAGAGTGACTTGTGATGGATCTTACAAAAGACAGTGGAAAGATTCTGTTGTTTCACTGGGGCTTTTTCTCTGGTGCAACTTAAACACAGAGTTCACAAACCCAAATGTGTGGAATTCTCATGAAATTTTACCAGAAGATCTCTTCCAATTGAAAAATAAATAAGCTGTATTGTACAATTTTATTTTTTTGTTCTTGGTTAGAAACAGGATGCTTCATCATGCTGATTAATAGTTTCCTAAATTATGAATGCTGCTGCGAAAAACTGTGAGCAAACAATGTGTGCATTCATTTTTAAAGCCCAACTGCACTGCTCTGAGATGTCTGATGTATTTTTTTTGCTTCTATCTGAATTCCTTGGCATTGACCTTTCTTTTTAATTCAAACTGCCAAGTGCTTAAGATACCCCCTTATATTTTTCAGACGCTTTTGTTCTGGAGAAGTGAATATCTGGTAGTGTGTACAGCAAGTGAAAAATGAGCTGCTTGTGCCCTTGTGCAGCACAGGGAGGTTTGTTTCTTGGGGAGCAGGAGGGACATCTGCAAAACTCTTGTTTCCCAGGGATGACTAATTGTTCATTTTCACACATTGAGAAGATGCCTGTTGATTCAAAGGAGATGCACCATGCAAATAAACATGCTGACAGACTCACAATATTTTTTTCCAACGTTCACACTTGGCATGGCAGTGTGGAGTAAAGGGAAGCACAGCAGAAGAGCCTCGGGAAGCCTCTGAGCTCAGCTCTGCTGCTGTCAGGCTGAGCCTGGGCTCGGGCTCCAGGAGTTTGTGTTGTGCTGCTGTGCCAGAGGTGCTTATGCAGCCTTAACCAGCTAGAATGGAAACCACACTGAATCTTATACCAGCACTGATGTATTTTTCCTGTGAGCTTGCTGCCTGATGGGAATAATTCTTCACATTTCAGCTCATGTCCAACTTTGCCTTCCACTCCCTCTTAAAAAGATCAGTAGCTCTGCTTTTTCACCCTGTTTTCCTGACCACTGCACAGAAGTGACACAGAGCAGAATTTTATCTTCCATGGAATAACAATGTTTATAAACAAAGTAATGTTGTGGTTTTGCAACCTGCATCACTGGTGCTTGAAATTTTCAACTCACATTTGAATTATTCCAGTTTAATAATCAGAATGGCATTAGAAAAATGCCAGTAGAAGCCAGGAGCCCTTGTGTTACCTTCTGTAAGAACATCTCAACCTTTAAGTAAGAGCAGGAGCTTAGAATTCATTTAACATTGATTTAGATATTTCAAGGTAACAAACAAAACAAAAGACATGAAAAGGTCCTTGACTAAAACTACATTATAAAGTTAAACCATAAACAAGCCACAAAACAATTTATCCCAAAATAGGAATTACCACATTCTACTACTGTTTGAATCTGAAAAAAAACCCCAGCCCAAGCCTCTTTACAAACAAAGCATACAAATTTAACAACACTTTAAATTTGGGAATCATTATTCTAACTTCCCAAAAGTCAATCTCACAGTATTAATTCTTAATATGTGACAAAGGATCATTTATGTAGTAAAATAAACCTAGCATTTAAGTGCCAATAGTATAAATATTCATTGCTGGCAGAGAATAGGAGTTTGGCAGTCATCTATCCCTTAGCAATACTTTTTTATTACTCAGAAAATTCCTCTGGGCCATAGGGGACTGAATTAAATTCGTTATGAACTTTATTGGGAAGGATTTTAAATATGTGCAGATGTCTGGTAGAGAGGGCTTCTTTTTCTGTATTTCCCCTTGTTCTTCTGTTAAACTGATTTTTGTCTTTTTTTTTCTGTACCTAAGCACTTAAATCTGTCTCCTTTTAAAACCCGGTGCTTTGCCTCTATCCTGGCTGCTGTCAGCCATCCCAAAAAGCCTGAAATTGTCAACAAGATCATAATTGCTACCAGACAGTGCCAAGAACAGGTTTCCTTTGGCTGCCACAGCCCCTTAGCTGAGGCTGTTGGTGACCTCAGGTACACAGTCCTTTGCCTGTGCACTTAACCCTGACCATCCTGCTGGGTCAAGGTCTGCCAGACTCTGCTGCTGCTCTGTCCCAGCCAGCCCAAAGCACAGGCAGACCTCAAACTTTGCCTCTCTGGCATCTGATTAATGACACAAAGGCGGGTTCTCGGCATCTGCTTGTAAACTGACATTTAAATGGCAATTGTCAGTGGAATGTAAGCATATGGTTACTGAGCTGTGAGTCAAGTGCAGGCAGAAATGCACTTGGTTCACAGGAAGAGCTTTTTTGTGTGTTGGTTTCACTCTTGTGTACTTGGCCTGACTGTACTCAAAGGCACAACACGACACTAATGCTTAGCCACAAAGTCTTCAAACAGTGCATCAGAAGTGCCAAAAAGTCCCAAGAGAGGAAGAAAGACAACCTTTAATTATTAAGTTTACCATCACAAAGCAGTGCCAATTACAAGAAAAGCACTTGGTCCCTACTGGATTCTGCTACAGGCTTTGAAAATGTGCAAAGATACCTTTCCACTAATCAGGGTCTCAATGGTCTCAGTATCAGCCACTAATAA